GGAGCGAGGTTTGTGAATTCGGCTGTTAGAATACTGAGATGCCACTTAGTTGCCTGAATATATGCTGTGCCAAAAGTAGAAGAGGAGTGCATGAAAATTGATAAGGTTGCCCATTTGCCCATCAAGTCTTCGAATAACCCCGAGAATATACTTTTTGCAGCAACTCAACCTCAACGGCCCCCCTGCACGAGGAGCCCAAGTACATTGTATTTGAGAGCTGTTTATTGCAGTTGCTCCGCCCATGCGTAATGTGCCAAGCGCCATGTAAAGTTACTATTGTACCAGACGGCACACTAGTGAGGGCCACGGCTGTGTGCCAAAGCGAACACAGCAGGACTTGGCTCAGCCAGCCTCTCATCAACAACGTGCCAGCCTGCAACCTGCTCCTCTCCGGTGCCATGCTGTTCACCGGCTCCTGCTCTGCAAAGGTGCTCAGGCTGCTAAGGCTCATCAATATTCAAGCCTTCTCGGAAAGCACGTACTTCAATCACCAGGCAGCATTCCTGCAGCCTTCAATTGAACGAGTGAGTTCCATTGCATAATCGCTATCTTTCTCGTGCCCTTTAACATTTTTGGGCAGCACATTCTCATTGTCGTCATTACAATCCCCTCAGTAATGGGTACAGCAACTATTGAGAAATTTATTAATAAACAATAGAAAGAGCTCAAGAATGTGGAATCAAACTCATCGGCCCAGCCTAAATTCGAAAAACGTTTTCCGAACCCTTTTTCAGGTGTGGAACCGAGAGCAGCAGAGCCTTCTCCAGGCAAGGCAGGGGAAGACGGTGCGTTTGGCTGGGGACGGGAGGTACGACTCTCCAGGGTACTCGGCCAAATTCATGACATACACTTTCATGGAGATGGAGACAAACAAGATCCTCCACTATGTCCAAGTGCAGCTTGGAGAGGCAAGTTTTGCACGTTTCCTGGAGGGTTAGAATATTGATGTTGCTTGTTACTGCAAGAGTAAGGCTTCACTTTGTGTGTAGCACTGACCAAGTAGATAAAGAGTGTCTACTTGCTCCGAGCTATAGGAAATAGTTAAAGGATAGCGATATACCACCAGTTCATCTATGCATTGACGCTGACATCACTCAAGCTGCATGTGCCAATATGCATACAAAGTGCCCTACAAAAGCCAGAGCTTCCTTATTATAGTGTTATAGCTTTGCTCATGAATAGTCTGTGTGGAAATTTAGGATGGACTGTTCCATACCTACATACAGGCCATACATTTTGCTTCATTTAGCAGTCGGTGCTCAAGTCCTTACACACGAGCAACTGCTTTTTTCTCTTACAGTCCCCCGAGGTGAAGTCCAGCAACGCAATGGAGCTGCATGGCTGTGCCAAGGGGCTCACTTTTTTCAAGGAGGAGAATGTCACGGTCGAGGCCCTCGTCACGGACCGTCACCTAGGGATCAAGGGCCACATGAGGAGCAAAGAACCCCAGACACGCCATTACTTCGATGCTTGGCACATTGCAAAAGGTGCCTAACCCTGACTATCATCAGTTTAGTCTGATTTAGTGTCATATTGCAGTCCTTATGTTAGTCGGTCTACAAGTCTGAAGTAAGGTGCAATATGTGTACTGATTATAGTTTTTTTTTAACTGTTCTTCCAGGCATAAGCAAAAAGATGCTGAAGGCCAGCAAGTACGCCCGGTGTGAAGTGTTGGCATACTGGGCACAGCCTGCCTCCAACCATCTGTACTGGTGTGCTGCCAACTGCGAAGAGGATGGAAAACTCCTCGTCGAGATGTGGAAGAGTGAGTCAATTATTTGTCAATATTTAGTCCTATTATATACAGAAGTGCCCAGGTAGTGAATTTTCACTTCGAAGTGAGCACAAAGGTAATAGTAACCATGTTGAAATAACCTGAGACTGGGGTAGAGAAGAAGCATCAAAGCGTAGAAGGGACAGAAAATAGACAGGACGACGTCATTGAGACGTCGTCCTGTCTATTTTCTGTCCCTTCTACGATTTGATGCTTCTTCTCTACCCCAGTCTCAGGTTATTTCAACATGGTTAATATTCACCAGCTCACCTGCACCCTTACGAGTTTTTCAAAGTATTTATTTTGCAAGAATAATTTTGAATCAAACCAAATACTTGTACAAGGATGTGGAAGTAAAAAAAAAAATCAAATGTAGAACTTCCAGTGAAGAAAGGATTGTCTAGCAGTCTTTTCCAATGTATGTTTCAAAGCTGTCAAGGAAATGAACAGATGAAATGTAGACCTAGTATTCTTTACTTTATTGACTCTTCAGTACACTATCGTGGCAGTATTACAAGAATCCAACGTCACAAAGCAACTGAGGACATAAGTGATGCCCCAAAGACTCCGTGGGCAGGAACCAGAGATGGTTTGAACCCTCAACTTTGCGCTCTCGAGACGAAAACAAAATCTCAGTGCCACGGAGGGTTATTGCCAAGACGGCAATAATGTCAACAGCAACAAGCTAAAACGTAGCAGGGAAATATTACACAAAAAGGCAGGATGGCGGCTGCTTAACACCAAGTCAACCTCCTTTGATAACATTGTACATGACTATCATATAAACCACATATGCCTACATGTCATAGCCCTTGCGTTAGTACCACGTGCCAAAAGCTTTACCGCTTTAGTCAGAAACATTACAGGAAAGTATCTGAATTTGGTTGTTGCACTGAAAAATTTTGCAGATCAAGTCTAGTTACCATTATAGGTTTACCTCTATTTTTATGGAATAATGGCACAAGAAAACACTGGACATACAGTCTAAGCTCATTACAACAGACCTGGTTACAACAGACATTTGGATATCACATAGGGATTGTGAAGTTTGGTTCGTTTTCCACTACATACCATTGACTCCGCTTCATATCTGCATACAACACACTCCTCTTATAACAGACCGAAATCTTGGTCAAAATCAAGGTCTGTTATAACGTAACGAGCTTAGACTGTATACAGGCATATATCCATGTAGTATTCTGTTGAATGTTTTCCTTGCTTTTTAAATGAATAAAAATATATCCTGCAGCATTCTCAAACTTCAAAAATGTTTGAAGTAGCCAAATAACCAGCCCCATTTGTTTTGAATATTTGCACGTCTAGGCGATATCATAACAAAGGGGGTTACAGTTGAAACATGCCTGTATCAGCAAGTCTACCAGTCAAAATAGATAACAGAACACAATTGCAGACATTTGACAGGCTAGCAGGTGCACTACAACACAAATGAGTATCAATTTAGGTATCTATGATCCAGTGCAGAATGACATAGAGCAAATAATTCCTGCATAATTGTTTGGCTCGAATGCGGAACTGTCGAAATATCTTGATCAGGTCGACATGTCCCCGTGATGCTACGATTTTGCTTACGTGGGACATCTCAAGGCCTGAAAGACTGGTCTCTGTCATGTAGACAGAAACGTGTTAGGCATACGGCAAAGGTTACAGGCATGCTGTCATGCCTGAAAGTTGTTTCGTAACTTCACAAACTGTTTGCATTGTTCTAAAAAATGAACCTTGTATTTCAGGCATAAACAACCATGCTCTCGACAAGCACACTGGCCATGGAGGGGTGTACGACCGCTGTGTTCACGACACCCTCGTTGGGGACAGAGAGTGGCTCTCTCTAGGTCAGTAGACAATCACCCTGAAAACCTAACTCTACTTTTCTCTGAGCAAATTTGGTAAATTTGCACATTTAAGTAAAAAAAATAGAAGCTACATAGCGTGTAATCATGATTCCAGGTACACCAGCTCACAAGCGCTTTGTCAGCATTACCATGCAAAAAGTGCTTCTGAGGGACTTGGAGCATGTGTCACCTGCAGGCCACACGTACAACCTCGAGTCCTACCATAGTATGCTCATCAGGTTTGCACCCAAGTCTGTGGCGTTCACAGGCCCCATCATGCATGCAAGGTTTGTTTTCTGTAAACTAATTAGGCACATATGCAAGTCGATTGTTTTTTCTAGCAGGTCCCCATGAATGCTTTTCACTGCGGACAAAATTTCTGCTTCAGAACCAGATTGGCTGCTCTGCACCACAACGAAAACTCCGGAAGGGTCCAAGCGGTGACGCGCAAAGGGCAGCCAAAATTCAAGCGAAGGATGCAGAGAGGGAAGATGGGGACCGATCGTCTCAAGGAAGTAAAAACCCCTCCAACCTACGGTGAGGCTCATATAATTTTGTTGGCACCGTAGATACTACCCGCTGGACAGTCATTCCGAGACAATCTAAGTGCTGCAGAGACGCTTTTAGTTCCTTGACATATGTGATGGGTAACATCCTTTATCTGCGCTTGCCCTAATTACAGCGTACGTGGGCCAGCTGCTGTCTGAGGCTGCTGCCTGCTGCAACGAGTCTTCCCTCAGGGAAGCCTTGGGCAACAGACCCCGGGATCGGGCCCCCCTCCCCATGGCAGCTCACTACCCGAGGCTTCCAAAGGAGCAGCTGGTGGAACAGAGGATGTCACGTTACAGCAGAGGGACAGCAGGGTCTTCATGAGGTGAATGCTCCAAACAGTTGCTCTACCCCACTGCTTTGTATGGCATACACCTCCTGTTCTTGTTGTGCTGCTGTGTGTTTGAAGAGAGAATGAACGAGTACTGAAGCTTGCAAATGAATCTGGGGTCCGCTAAGCTATCTTGTTTTAGCAAGATGGGCAGCTTCACGGTTGATCAGCAGGATGGCACAAATGAGAGTGCACGCACTGTCTCGCTGAATGCTGTTGTGGATGCCGGCAACAGTTTAGTACGCTATCAAAAACAAACAGATTTAGGTTTATTGCGCTTGCACTTGTTCATTCGTTTCTTCAATCAGTCTGTCTGCTTATTTGAACGTGCAGGACGCATCCTCAGATGAGCTGAAGGCCGTCAAGAAGGCTGGCAAGGCACAGAAGAATGTGTGCACCACTGACAAGCAGCAGCACAGGAGGAAGTAGTCTCGGCATCTACACCTAAAAGGTGCTTGAGCTGTTCCACCCAGACACCGACGCGTCAAGCAGGGCCATGTGGACCATGAAGAGCTTCATGAACGACGCCTTCGAGCATATTGAGGCTGAGGTCCCCTGCCGTGGCCCACTACAAGCGCTCAACCATCGCGAGCCGCGAGCCGCGAGAACCAGATGGCTGTGCAGCCGCTGGTGCCGGGTGAGCTGGCTAGGCACACCGTGGCCGAGGGCACCAAGGCCGTCACCAGGTACACCAGATCCAAGAGGTCCATCACCGTCACGCAGAGAGAAAAAACAACGGTCCTTTTCAGGACCACTTCTCACTCGAAAATCGGACGTCTTGCGACGGCTTCAGACGCCCGTGTCTCTTTTTTCAATGCAGTACTTGGAAAGAAACAAAAGTTGTGAGTACAAATTCGATTTTCTACCAGTTTGTAGTTGCAGCATGCATGCAATGATGGCAGCATGCCTGCTTCACAGGCATGCTGCCTATGTGAGAGAATACAATTGGTGCATTTGCTGCCAATGCCTTGTTTATCTCAGCATTTGCTTCAGCATCCCCCAATTTCCTTGCACATTCCCAAGCTGGCTTATGGGAGCTAGATCATGATCACGTGCAGCCTTTTGGCAGATCCCAGCTGCTAGGGAGCACGTCTCCCATGAGGCGGACACAATGCGGTTATCACAGTGGAGTTTCTGCTTGCCTGTGGATTGTTTATTTAGCATAACAGTATAACCTGCAAAATAATTGGATGGTTCAAATTGTGGACTGCACAAAGGTCTTGGGCCACATGTAGGGATTTTCATGCAGTGTTGTGGAATGAGCACCCCCTTTTCATTCCGAATATATTCCACAGAATTGAATTTTCCAATAATTTCATTTCTTTGAACTTCTAAGAAGGGAAACACTGGGTTTTGAAATGTTGGTCACAAGCAATGTTTTGAAAAAAATTACAAAAAGGGTAACTTTTTTCTAAGACAAGATTTCTCTTATTTTGTGTGTTCTAAACCATGTCAGGGTTTCTAGGTCTCCACTATTTCCAGTAATCCTTTGGGTGTCAAAGGGGTTAAGTTGCCGGCAAATAATGTCAGTATAAAGCTGACGTTATAAAAGGCATAGACAACTGCAAAAATATGCACAAAAAAAAGTTCCGAAGGCACTATCAGGCGGTAGTCGCACATGGCACTGATAGCAATGCGTCGAAAAACTGAGGGAAACAAGAGCACGTCGCAACATGGACCCATCTTTCGAATGATTAGTGGGTAGACCGTTGTCTCCACACTGCAGTTAAACACGCTCGAATGCGAGGACCTAACGCCAGATGCCGGCGTTTTAGTGCGTTTGTTCAGTGCAGTGGAGACAAAAGCAGCTAGCTATACACCAACACGCATCCCTGACGTCATGCTGCTGTAGTGGCGTTGCTACTGGCAGGGCGCATGCACAAATGCTCCACTTCATGCAAATCTAGTTTCTGTGTATTTGCCCGCACTTTGTGTGGGCTTGTTTGTAGACAGCGCGCTGGCCTATACGTCTACCCACTAATCATTCGAACCAGGGCTCAGCGTTCTGACATCCCCGTGCTCTCGTCTCTTCCTCTCCATTAGTTTCTTGGCGCATTGGTATAATAGTACAGCAAAAAGCCTTAACAGATAGAAAAACTTCAAACCACCCATCTTCTTCAGAAAAGGACCTTATATATAAAACCACTTCTAGGAGATATATGGCAAATGAGGAGTCGTGCATCAAAGAAACACGGGAACTGTGGCATTGTTCATACCTGGTGCTCTATTTGCACATGGTCTCAAGTCACATTGCCAAGTCTCATGGCAGCACGAACGAGACCTTGTCTGCTTACAACTCTAGCTTTAATTGCTTCATTGGGGTGCGATTTTCAACCTTGAAGGAACATGAGCCAGTCAGATAACCAAGCCGTCAGTTACCTAGAGTGCAATGATGCCGTCTCAAAAGTCCCTTTGACCGCATCGACACAGCTTGCATAAGAACACATTTCATCCCTGCTCAATTCTTGGCAAGATGCAACTAATTCCCTTCTAATTTTTCTCAGTGCTGCTGCCAATCCACTCTATTCCGGAGTCGCAGAATGATTGTGGAATCATTCAGACTTCAGAGTGGCAACTCCGCAACACTGTTTTCATGGTATGGGTGTTTGCCACCTATAGGCACAGTGCATTTACCCACTAATTACTAGACATGCAGGTACCACAGCAAGTTTTCTGGCAGCAGAGCAGTCAAGTCTAAAGGTTGCCACGAATGTCTTCATGCCGACAAGATTGGTGGAGAAACCGGAACTGAGAAGTGAATAAATGTATGGATGAACCAAAGAAGTTTCCAATGAGTAGCCTGTATGTCATGTTCCTGGCTATGTTCTTATGTTCTTTACAGGGCATAAAAAAAAAGAAGCCAAGAGTTACCTGTTGCAACCATTTTGGGTGGCTCGATGCTGGCGCATACACGCAGCTGGGCTATCTGTGTTGAGCTCAGCTGGTCAATTTATAAAGCTTACGAGACACGGGAGGGAGGCTCTGCTTGGTTGCCAGCTCCGATATACTACAGATGAGTGGCCTTGATAAAGGCCGTTTAAATGGGGTTCTGCCAAACATTTCTCAAGGGTAGTGCCAAGCAGTACAGCTAGAGAAAGCACAAGCTGCAGCAACTCTGTGGCTGTACACTGTACAGCCACAAGGTTGCTGCACCCTGGTCTCTCTCTAGCCGTACCACATAATGCTCTACACTCCGTGATCCATGTACCAGAGGATCGGGGGTGTACTGGACGGCTTCCTGGCTGGAAAGAGATGAAGTGACTTGTTAGGGTGCAGAATGGCAAAGGACACGACGCCTACAGAAGGATTGATTTCAGATGCTACTTAAACAATGTTTAATATTGCAACTTCAAATGTGCTCGATGGCCATGTCTGATTGCTAGGAAGAACGCTAGAAATGCATGCTTGGCTTTCTATACGTTGAAACTGTCGCGACTGATATTGAAACAAGTAATACAAAACTTGCTCATGTTGAATTAACCTGAGACTGGGGTAGAGAAGAAACATCAAAACATAGAAGGGACGGAAAATAGACAGGACAACGTCTAAAACTCAGCTGAGTTTGAGACGTCGTCCTGTCTATTTTCTGTCCCTTCTACGTTTTGATGTTTCTTCTCTACCCCAGTCTCAGGTTAATTCAACTTGTTTAATATTCACCAGCTCGCCTGCACCCTTACGATTTTTTCTACAAAACTTCCGTCTATTTACATAGCTACGATTAACCACAGCTTCCATGTCAGTTCTTGATTTATGGTTCAAAACATGGACCGAGTAGTGGACCAACCTCAGCAATCCACTGGTGCGCAGTCCAGAGGAGGATACTTGAAGCCAGTGTATTGTTGAGAGGGGAAGGTTTTTCTTATTTTCTCCACAACGCACGCAGGCAGCACTCGTCTGTTGCCAGCTCCCAGTCGACCCCACATCCAGCGGGTGAACTGCCGGTATGCCACAAAGCGATACTTCCTGGAGAGGAAGAATAACAATGTTTCTTGTAGAACTGAAGGCAGAACCGCCACGTTCTAAGATGCAGCTGAGAGGCAGAAAGCAGGCTTCATCAGGTCTTTGATTTTCCGACAAGCTTTTGAAAGAACGGCCGCACTCGCTGGTTTAATGAAAACGCGTTTAGATAGTTTATATTTTCATGTGTGATGAAGCTTTTTGCTTCGGGCACGGCGAGCCTTAGGAGCACGTAAAGTGTCAGCAAAGCGAACACTACGAAGGAGGTTGTGCTCTTTTGGGAGCACGTAGTGTTAGCAAAGCGAACGCCTGCTACGAAGTCGGTTGTGCTACTATGTATCTACCTGACTGAGTAATCAAGGATATTCGTATGCGCGCGATCACGTTTTGTTGTTTCATTTTGCCGTGTTATGCCAGCACCATTTGCACTCACTCGTGGAGCTCGTGGGAATGTTCGAGACCCTTCTCGCGGACCTCGCAGTACGCCACGGCGAGGACGGCGACGTCAAGGCACAGCTTGAAGAAGTCGGTGTGCACCGTGATGCACTCAGCCGGCTGCTTCCGAACAGCTTGTGGCAGCTCACGGCAGCAAAAACACTCCCGAGTTGTAGGCATGGCCGTGCAGCGGCCGCAGTCGCACCTGGATTGCAAGCTTACTTAGGACCCAGCTTATATGTTTTATATCGTGCCCAAGGGGAACGCTCACCAGTTTGTATCTCCTACTCGCCGAGGTGGCTCCGGTGGCGGAGTTGCGGGAGACGAGTCTTCCGCGGCTGGCGGAGCGGAGGGAGGCAGAGACGCGTCGCGGCGCTTGCGTGGAGTGTCCTCGTACGGCGCGACGCCTAGATCCGCACTCCTTTTAAGAATTCGGCGCTCAAAATCTGATAAGCCCGGTAAATTCATCGATGATGGCAACCCGATCCCAACCCTGCGATGGTTGCAGCGAGGCCTAACTGGCCTAACGACGACGGGCCGACCGGGCCGACGGGCTATCAACCAAACTCGCGTCCCATTGGCCAACCGCTTTGCTCCAATCGCTAAACTGTTTCATTTTACGTCATGAAGCGCAATGTTTTGCTTATTTAAAGTTGTTTTCTGCAATATTTATTTTGCGAATAACTCACAAAATATTGCGAATTTCTGTAATATTTTTTTTCCTCGGTGTTCCTGCTTTCATGGAGCTCCGTTTCAGCGCGAACTTCGAACCGGTCAAAAAAGTGTTGGTGGGCCCCTTTAACCCACCTGACCGACCCGTACATGCCGCTTTGCGGCAGCAACCTCATGCAATATATTAAAAAAAAAGAAAAGCTGTTCTAAGTTGTTGATGAAACCATTTGTCGATGAAACAATCTGTCGATGAAGCATCGCGTGTCAATGAAACGATCTGTCGATGAAACGTTCGATGAACTAATTGCCACCGCTCCAAAGGCGCGCGCGCGCGCGTGGCTTTCAGAAATAATTTTAGTGCGAGTCATGCACTAAAATTCATGGTCGCGGTTCTGCGTATATACTGTAGACGTTTTATGCTCTATTTTGCAAGTTAGGGGTAAAGTCTGTACCAAAGAGCATGTGAAATACTTACATAATGCAGTAGAAAGTTTTCCTTTCTTTTTTCGTACCGTGCATTTTGGCGAAGTGAACCTGTGCCTTTCGCAACGCTCCACTCGGAGTAGAGCTCGATCTTCACTGATTTGCATTATTTCATTCTCAGAGTAAAGCCTGGTTCAGACAGTTGCGTTTGAGTGCGTTTGACTTCGTTGCGGCGGCGAGGAACCAGAACATCCCTGCTGCTTATATCGCGTGCCAAGATGATTCCTTGAATTGGATTCCACGCTTCATACGAAGCACAGATGTGCCGGTGACTCGCTTTCGGTTGTCGACGCAACGCAGTCAAATGCACTCAAACGCAAGTGTCTGAATCGGCCTTAACGCTTGAACAGGCTTACTAACGAGCTGACTTGAGGCAGCTAATGACGGCTATGCGAATTAGTATCGTGTGTATTGATGCGATAGCATTATTCATTAATGCGATAGTCTTCTTAAAAAAAAGGTGTATCGAATTACAGTTAAAAGTTAAAAAGGCTCGAGGTAGACCTAAGCACTTTTTATGAGTTGCGAATGCGAAAGCATGCACGCCGCTCTTCCGCTCCCTTCTGTCGTCTGCTTCGTACTTGAGTCTACGGTCGAGCGCGCGCGCTGACCTTGGGAGTAAAGATGCTGCCTCGCGGGCACGCAGCGCCATCGGATGGCGGTTATTGAAAATAACGCGCAGCGGCCAATGGGAGCCTCGCCGACGCGCGCCAGTCAATGAAACCGAATTCAAAATCCATCAGCTTTACTCCGCTCCTTTGGGATCGGGGAAACTAGGTGCCGTTTGGCTAGGCTTTTCCCGTGGTTTCATAGCTGGGAGCTGGCTTCACTCAGAGAAAAGATTTAAGGTGCCGTTTGGCGCTGCTTCAAAGCTGATGACGTCGGCTCACTCCATGGGCCAGTTAATGCTTTCGCATTAAAAAAAAAGCTAACGAGTTACAGTATCGTGACACTACCCAAGGCTGCTTAATTAAACGTCTTCCTTGTCGTTGTCCTGGACGAATGCTACGCACTTCATTAACAACCAACAATAGTGGTTTCTGCAGCAATTTTTATGGACATTGTTTACTTTTTCGAAAATAAGAAGCCTAATGGCACTCAAAACACGCTGGCTTTTCTGACAGCGAACTTTGACCAGGACTTCTTTGCAGCGCGTTGTGCAACGGCGTGGGGCCAAAATAAGTACGCAACTAGGCGGACACGACCACTTTTCTCGTAAGGGGATTGCCGGTATGTATTCGATATCAGAAAAATCTGCAGTGCCGACAAAGGCACGGGTGCAAACTCGTAGCTTTGGAAGGTTCGTTCTCCGCGCGAATGTTTCTACAAACAGCGTTTTCCTGAGCTGAGCACAAAATCCCCTGTGCCTTTGTCTGCACCTGAAAGATTAGTGATATCTAGTATATTTCGCTCGTATTCTTACGTACTTTAGCGCAACATACATCGATTGTTGTCCGTTTAAAACCAAAATACGAATATTGTAATTGTACACATGCCTTCATCGCGTAATCTCTCATTGTGTGAGTTCCCATTATTTCTAAGTGTATTTCTATAAAAGAAAATCACAATTATTTTTAGAAACTCGAGTAAATCAGGTTTATTTGATTTAAATCATATTAATTTGATTTAATTTACTGTAGCTAGAAAATTGCGATTCTTTACCACTAGATGTATTTTCAACATAACAGATTGATTGATGAATTTGTCCCATCGCTAATAACAATGCGAAAGAAAGAATTGCTGTGAACATAAAGTACAGTTTGATTAATAACCTTTTCTGGGTGTAATCTCTACCACACTATAACAAAAACAGCTTGATTGGTTTAGTTGATAAAACGCTTTACTTGGTTTTTCTTTCGCGTTCTAACTCGACTGGAGAATGATATTACGTGTTATAGTTTTTGTTTCTTTTGTTTGCGTTCTGATTTAGTTACAGTATGACGTTACATAGCAGGCGAATGAAGGTGAATGTAGAAACTAAGCTCAACGATCTGATTTGCTCAGAAGAGCACTTTTTTTTTCTTTTTTTGCTCGTGTTCATCCCTATTTAAAGGGATACTTCTACGAAATTTGAAATATTCCCGTCGTGTTCAAAAATAGGTCAAATATGATCCACAATATTCGTAAATGACAATCGCACGTTTGTATTTTGATCCTGGTGGCTTTATTTTTTGTTATAAACGGCCCACTCGGGCAAGCGCTCGGAGAGGGCCCAGCGGAGACCACGTGACATCCAACGCAATCGTGACGTAGGTCGTCTCGGGACGCGCAAAGCTACGGCGAGGCTGACGTCGAGAGGATGGCCTAGTCGTTCCAGCCACCGAAGCGGCTGCTTTTGTACGAATTTTGAGCGACGGGTTAATCTTCTATAATCTTGTAGGGGGACGATAGCGACTTCTGCGACACACAAAAGGCATTCTCGGGAAGAGGGGAGTTCCTCCTTCCCCTCTTCTCTCGTCGTGGCCGGAGACGAGACAACCTCCGTCACTAGCTGTCAAGGTTCCTAGACAGGCATTACAAACGAGGCGTTAGCGACATCCACCAGGTGGTCTTTGCTAATCGTTCGATTCTTTTTAAAATTCCTTTTCGAAACTTTTTTAACAAGATATTGGTATGTTCGATGTGATACTGCTCCTTTGAACACATATAGACCAAAAAATGAGCGCCGAAATTTTGTTCTAGAATCCCTTTAAATCTTGCATAATAAATCATTGATAAAAAAAACTACAATAACAACAAAGAAATGCACGTTGCAGGGATTAAATCATAGACAAACTGTGAATAAAAATATTTCCGGGATTATTTTTGCGGGAAAGGTTCGATCTAAATCCTCATAGTAAAACTGGTCCAATTTAAATTACGATTTATATCATATTAACTTTTATTTTCCACCCTTGGTGTGTACAGTTAAATGTGTTATTCATTGCGTAGACATTTTACAACTGTAGTTCATATATCATACACCCTATCCATTCCTTGTATTTCAAGGAGCCGGTTCCAGAATAGGGAACATATGCTTCACTTCATCAAATAGACATGAAATTAAACTGATGTCTGGCGAATCAAGCGACCTTCCACAGCACCGCTTTCGCGTGTGGGAGCCAGTTGGCGGCGCCCAAAAGTAGGATTTCTTTGGCAGTACATTCAAAGAGGTACAGGATGCCAGAAAGTGTCTCCCAGTAACAATGCGAATTTCACATGTCTGAGAGTCGGACGGCGTGTTTGCCAAAACACGGTCAATTCAGCCAAGGGCGTTCCCTCATATCCGTGCCGACCGTCCCAATAAATGTCAAAATAAAGCATTTCACCATTCTTTTTTTTTTTTTTTTCGCGAACTGTTTTAGAGTGTAATTCTTTGCCAATTGATGTTTTCACCAGTGCGTCCTTTTCTTTGTTCTTCACTCAAATCGGATAGAAGACGTATTCGCGTTTTATTGCGCATTATATTTTCTTACATGCAAAGTTTGGACTGATATTGTATGTTTTTATTGTTTGTTGTTCCTGTTAGATTTCAGTCGGGGCTGATGACCTATGCAGCCTCTTAACGACACTGAAAATATTTTGTTGGCATCGCAGCGCAGCAGAGCGCTCCCGATATTTTTGGACCAGCGCGATACGACACATTTTTTCTTTCTTTTTCCTCGCCTTTTGCGTGTGTATCACTTTCCTGTTACAGTCTCATGACCAGGCGAGCAGTATTGGTAAATAAATAATTAAATAAATAAATAAATAAATAAAGTCGCTCTATATGGTTCTGAGCATCTGGGCGCACATGAAGTCCCTCAATACTGCGCACCTTCTTTAATGAATTACGGCATCCAACACGCATGACAAAACACAGTATGCAAAAAAAAAAACAAAAAAAAAACAGCGTTTTTTAGTTTGTTTTGCCGGTGTAAATGCTCCATTTGTCCTTTTTTTACCTGCATCCTCGCGCCAGTCGGCGCCGTAAAGAACGTCGCTATAGTTGTAAGGCGCACGGAGGCCTTACATCTGGCGTTGCGCCGTAGCGGTAACGCCGTTTACAGCACGTTGCACATGCGCGGGCGTCAAGCGAAGCTCGCTGCAGCCGTTCCTGCGTACGAGCTGTACCAAACCAATAGCACCTGGATATGGCAAGGCCTGGGCATGACGTCATCGTTAGTGGAGCCTCGACCCTCCCCAAGTGTCAAACACGCTGAAGCTGGACGAGAGCGACGAGAGTCGCCACAAAGGGGCACACGGGTCGGTCTAGGCTTCGCCGCGTGCTAGCGTCGTGCTCGTTGTCAGACGCAGCAAGTCGCGCTGGCGGCCAGGGGTTGATCCAGGATTCCAGCTTTGGGGGCGTGTCAAAAAAAAAAAAAAAAAAATTAGAAAGTGTTACAATCTTTTTTTTTTTTTTGTGCTGGAAAAGGGGGGGGGGGGGGGGGGGAGGTTGTCATTATTCTATGATACTAATAGATG